AGCAGTGCGCAAAAGAGGAGCACACACAAAACTAGGATGGGTGGTGTTACAGTCGACGGGGCTTTTGTCGGTGGCTAGCGGAGAGGAAGGGCACAAACGAAATAAGAGGAACACGGTGGCGTCGATGGAAAGGACTGTTGGATGGTAGTGGAGTGAGGAGACTAAAACCCCAAAGCGACGCGGGGAGGACTTTGTCGGGTCCGCTGCCGATTTCGTATACGYAGTGAGTGGGAAAAGCGAAGGGAAATAGCGTGATAGTATGGGTGGTGATGAGCGGCGAGGAGAGAATCCTGATCGTGACCAACTGCGGATAAGGCGGTGAAGAGAACGCTCTCGCGTGTATATATATCTATATATATATAATACGTAGGTCGACGAGGGGAGGTTTTTGGTGAAACTACTGCGGTGCGTATGRCAGAGGGTAGTAGTGGTGGAGGTAGTAGTACCGAATACCCGCCACCCGCTTGTTAACCGAGGGTGGTGTACCCCGTAGCACTCGGCCTGTGCGCCGCGTCACGCCGCCGTCAAAGTCCCACCGCCACCCTCCTCCATACACGCTCACTATACTACTACGCACACTACTACCCGCCTTTCCAAACGGTGCCTGCCACCACCCTTGTCGTCTCATACTCGCCGCCACCCTGCCTCTGGTGCTTTTTTTCCCCTTTTTTTCTTCTTCCTTCCGGCCCAAATCCCCAAATCCCTACTACCCTCTGACGCTACTGCCGTCACTATACACACCCTTCCGCCACCACTGCCGCCGACACACTAATGCGCTCCGGTGCTGCTGCTGCCGTTCTCACCCTCTCCCCCGGTCGTCATCAGTCGTAATATCCTCAAAGCTCCATCGGCTCTCGGCAATGTAGGCGACACGCACACACACGATGCAACCGGCTCTGCCTCTGCTACGATCGCCCGTCGTAATAACTGCGTAGTAGTAGTAGTAGTAGTAGTCACATTCCCTTTAACCTTACTCGGTCGACCTATCGTCCGTCATCCATCTTCCTCAGTCTTTTCCTTTTCTTTTCTCAGCCTTTTTCTCCCTCCTCCCATTTGTGGCTCACCCTATTACGTACAAGCGTGCATCACWCTCTCCTCCACGAATATAGTACTGATTTTGCCCAGGCCCAATTTGGTGTTGGTGTCAAACTAATCATGTCATAAAATTGGAACGCATTTATAATAATCACCCAATGAAATATGTTATCCGCCTTTATATTGAATACTGTACGGCTTATACGATTAAGTGTGTATATTATTGTAATATGTATATTTCCTTACTTGGTTTTTGTCCGATTCGTCCTCTTCAGTTCCGTCTATTTCAGTGGATCCTTCTTGTATTTCTGACGTCTCTTCCGCTGATATTGCCATCACTAAATTCTTAGATACAGAGTCCTCAGTTATTTTTTGGCCGCTGTCACCAATACAACAGCTTATAGCCGCCACCGTCGTTTTTGCCGCTGACGTCACCACAGATGTCGCTTTGTCATAATATTCGTCATTGTTGTTGTTATTTTTACGATCACCCAGTCCTTCACCCATTCTTTTCTGCATTTTAGCTGGTTTAGGACCATCATCTTCTTCATCCAACTCTCTACTTCCAACCTTTTCTCCTATCACCACGCTTTGTAGTTCATCTGTAATATTTCCATCAACCTCTTCTTTAACACCAACATCATCATTACTGCCATCTCGATAACTGTTTCTTACAACCCCRAAATCACCATCACGATCACTCATTGTCGTGTCTTCGTCTTCGTAATGACCTCCACGATAACCTAATGATGGCCGGTTCAAACGTTTAGGTCGAACACGTCGACGTCGTACGCGTTTACGCTTGTAAAAAAAATCATCTGAGACTACGGACGGAGACGACGAAGATCGGATCGTCGTTTGCGCGGGTGAAACTGTTAATAGTGGTGAAGAGGACAAGTCTAACGGTTGCATATTACTGTTGACGCCACTAAAATCACTGCCACCTACACTCACGCTTAATCTGCTACCGTTACTACACACTCCCCATTTTGACCACCAACCGCCACTCGATCTACTACCACTACACGATTCCGTACGGGACGACAACGATGACGACGATGACGACAATATAAGCGTACAGCTGCTGTTGCTACTATTCTTCAAAGTGCTACTTCCCGAGCTTGAGTTACCGCCTGTAGTGGTAGCGGCAGTAGGGACTTCTATGACTTTACACGGTTGACGAATGTTACGTTTCAACGGAACAGTACGTTTACGCTTGTTGCCGCTCTTCGTCTCAGCAACCACAGCGATGTGACATTCGTTATCCGTAAAATTCTCCTTATCGGCGCCCGTGGCTATTTTAATGGCGACAGTTGAATGCGCATCACTAGAATCCGTTTTTACAACACTACTGCTTTCTTCGTTCTGTTTTACCGGAGTAGAACACGCGAACGTAGATGACGACCATTGCTCATTAGCGCAGTGAAAAAGTTCAGCGTTAGTAACAGAAATTGCAGTTTGTTGTAGATGGTCAAYGGACGCATCGATCGCAGACGCCGAGGTAGGGTTATTAGTGCTGCACTGAGGACATCCCATCAAAAACGCTGTCACCGCCTCCCTGGGTAGAAAAGCATATGTCTCCATGATCTGTGAAAGCACATAGTATTGAGTAAAATAAATAAATAAAATGTAGTCTACTAACATTACGTATACAAAAAAAGTGGGTGTCATTTCACATTTAATTTWATTTTTATTTAAAAGATTATAAGGTTTTTTAGAAAAAGCTTAAAAATAAAATATTCTTATTCATATTCATATTCATAAATTAGTTTTTTCATTTTATAATACTATAATATATGCATAATACTTCACATATTATAATACATAGCAGTTATATGTATTATACGTAATTCATAAAGCACGTATTATACTCTATAATGTATAGTCTTTATACAAGGTTCAGAATGTTAACAAATTTTTAAGTCATTAAATTAATAAAAATAAATTACTTATATCATTGAAGATATTGGGCAAATATACAATATACAATTTAATCAATGCTCAATGCTCATAAAGTACAATTTTATATAATTTCGTTTAAAATTTACGTAATCAAAAAATTAATTTAATTTAATATAAAATTTGATTTTTTAATTGATATTTAAAATAGCATACCAACGTATTAAATATATGAACTTTGATATTTCTTTAAATTGTATATTGTATATTTGCCCAATATCTTCAATGATATAAGTAATTTATTTTTATATAATTTCGTTTAAAATTTACGTAATCAAAAAATTAATTTAATTTAATATAAAATTTGATTTTTTAATTGATATTTAAAATAGCATACCAACGTATTAAATATATGAACTTTGATATTTCTTTAAATCTCGTTTAATATAATATACTCAACATTTCCCTCACCCTTCAAAAAAGGAGCTCGAAATAAAATTTAGAGTAAAAATGACCTATTATTTTTCAACTTAATAAATCAGTACCTAATGTAAAAATCTTGTACTGATACAACTTATATTAATATACTTCAATATTTAGTTTATTTGATCTGTACCTATAGGTATAAGTATTCATAGACATATAKGTACCTAAAATTAAACACATATGACATATATACGTTTATGTATACATAATATTAAATTATTAAATGTAGGTATTCGCTGACAGATTTTTCATAAATCATTAAAGTACAATGTTCTTTAAAATAGGTATCATACAAAACTTAAGTTAATCCGTCAAAAAAATGTATATTATTTACAAAATTTTTATTACATACCTAATAATCTATATTAAATTGGGAATTCAAGATAATTATCGAATTTTGAGATCCATTCAGTGACTAATGCCAGGTTGCATGAACGTCCGCTAAACGTTTAACGCTAAACGTTAGCGCCCTAACGAATGATTAAAATTTTATTGATCCATTAAACAATCTTTAAACGTTCAATAATTTTATTAGGCCGTTAAAATATAGGTTACCAGCTCATTAAACTAATGGGCCGATTTCGGCTCTTTAAATTTTAATGATTCGATAATTCTTCAGTTATCACGTACCTAGTCACTGTGCCCTGTAGTTAGTAGAAGGCACCCGCTATCATTTTACCTTTATATTRTACCTTTAAAAATAAAAAGTCAAGTTCCGATACAAGTTTGTCAATTTCCGATGATGAATTTGTTCCGGATATTTTATATTATTTATCTAGACCAAGATTATTTAGAGATCGATCAAATCCTTTGGAGGAATTTGACGACATTGATTTYAAGTGTCGCTTTAGGCAAGTTATTTTAAAAACGTATTAAGTTTAGATACTTACTACCTGTACCTATATAATATAACGTATGAATATAATACTTAAATTGTACCTACTACCTATACAAATTAACAGCTTTTGACATGATCTCCAAAGATGTTATCACTTTTTCTGTGATAAGCTTAAAATTCTWCACAAACTTTGGTATCATGTTTAATACCAATATATTTTTATTGTACGGTTTGTGCAACCCAAACGCCCCTGTAAAAATATTTAACGGTTCTATAAAATTATTCATTAAATAAATTTAAAGTTCGGTTTCATGCAACCCGGTAATAAAGTTTCAGTTCATTGATATTAAAGGTAAAAGATTCAATACACAAAAAAGAAAAGATGAGTACAGTCTATGCGCCTGTCGGGAAGAAAGATTAAATATTCCACTCTGATAGTGATCTTTTTTTCCATATGTGTATAATCTTATATAGTCTAAATTATACTAAATTTTAATACCGATTATCTACAAAGAGTCGAACACGATCTGACAATGATTCCAATACAAAAGTTTATTTATTTCTTATTTATTAGCTTCAAATAATTTTTTGTGTTTTAACATAATTTTAATTTTTAACTCGCTAATATATACTTGTCTATATCTTATAATACATAAAATGAATTTACATACTATAGTAGATATTATAAACACAATTGATCTTATAGAAAACTAAGTATATAGGTAGTAGGTACCGATCAATTATTTAAA